CATGATGCTGCTGCTGCTCGGCTCTGCTCTTCATCATCACTATCACTACTACGACGACGTCGACGTCGGCGCCGTCGTCGTAGTCCGTGCAGCACGACCACGACGTAGAACTACGACTATGACTACTACTACTACTACTACCACGACGACGACGACGACGACGACGACGACGACTACTACTGCTGCTGCTGCTGCTGCTGCTGCTGCTGCTGCTGCTGCTGCTCCTCCTGCTGCTCCTCCTCCTCCTCCTCCTCCTCCTCCTCCTCCTCCTCCTCCTCCTCCTCTTCCTCTTCGTCCTCTTCATCCTACCTTGCCGTGTTTTGATGGCACATGTTTCACTTTCTTGTACACCAACCTGAGAGATATTTCAAAGTTGCGCCTCAAGAGGAGTGGGGAGTTAATAGGGCGGAAGGGTTGGAGGAGGAACAACATAGGAACAGGGTTGGGAGTGCACGGGCAGGAGCAGCAGCACGAGCAGGAGCAGGAGCAGGAGCAGGAGCAGGAGCAGCAGGAGCAGCAGCAGCAGCAGGAGGAGCAGGAGCAGCAGGAGCAGGAGCAGCAGCAGGAGCAGCAGCAGGAGTACCTGACACGCTCGTACATGTCGTCGTCCTCCTGTCCCCAGCCGAAGTATTTGTTGGAGTAGCCGTTCAACGCCTTGTAATGCTGCACTGATAGAAGGAAAGCGCCGCCAACCATGGCTTCGTAGAAGCGAAAGTCTTGAAGGAGAGTAAGATACGCCGAGCAGGAGCAGGAGCAGGAGCAGGAGGAGCAATAGAAGGAGAAAACGGAGAAGAAGCAGGAGCAGGAGGAGCAGGAGGAGGACGGCAGATGAAGAGGAACAACGCATTAAGGCACCTTTCTGATCCGTATTGGTGCAGAGATGAAGTGGCTCCTTCGGCCACCTGCAGAGAGAGCAAGCGATCAGAGAAGGAGGGGGAGAAGAGAGAGGAGGGGGGAGGCTAACGGACGTGACGTGACGGGACGTCAGCAGAGGAGAGGGGAGGAGAAATGGCGAGAGAAGGGAAGGGTGAGGACGGCAGGGGCAGGGAGGCTGAAGATGGGAGGAGAGGAGATGAGAGGCAAGGTGTGGAGGAGCGGAGGGGAGAAAGGGAGAAGGGGAGGGGAGAAGGGGAGGGGGGGGGGGTTGGGAGCATCTCACTCATGCGTCAGCTTGTCGCTGACAGGGATCTGATCAACGTCGTGCATGACAAGATAGTCACAGCCGAGCTCCTCAGCATGCTGAACCTGATTGAAGAGACTGAGAAGCCAAGGTAGCGAGAATGTCGAAAGAAACGAAAGGAGGGTGAGATTGAGACCCAAGAGCGGCAGGAGCAGGAGCAGGTACAGCAGAGGCAGAGGCACGAGGAAGAGGCAGAGGCACGAGGAGGAGGAGGTGCAGGAGGTGCAGGAGCAGGAGCAGGAGGAGGAGGAGGAGGAGGAGGAGGATACCCCACGATTGAACAGGATTCCCTTGTTCCAGTGTCCTCGCTGAGACTGCTCATGGTACGTCAGCGCTCGTCCAAGGGGACAGGGAGTGAGGGACAAAGAGAAAACGTTTGACCTGCTCGGCGACTATGATGCGGAAGTCAGGGACCTGTAAGAGTATCAGAACAGAAAGAGGGGGTCACCACGATCACAACCACAAGCAGCAAAAATAACAGCAGCACCAGCACCAGCACCAGCACCAGCACCAGCACCAGCACCAGCACCAGCAGCACCAGCAGGCAGGTAGTTCTCACCCCAACAGTGTCGAGGAAGAGAGGCATGTGGTAGAGGAACTCCTCCAGGTTCTCAAGTCGTCCCTTGCCCTGAGACAGAGTTAGAACCCGCAGAACAAGAGAGGAGGAGAAAGAGAGGAAGAAGTGGGGGGGTGGGGGGGGGTTGTAGAGAGTTGGACAAGGGAGAGGGAGGGCGGGAGGGAGGGCGGGAGGTGGTGGTAAAGGTGCAAGAGGAGAAGGTGATTGGGAGGGAGAATAAAGAGGAAAGCGAGAGGTTGTGAGCAGGGGCGTTGAGGTGGTGGTGGTGGGAAGAAGGAAAGGTACAAGGAGAGGACGACCTGACTCATCGCACTGCAACCGTCTCGGAAGGGAACAATCACACAGAGCTGTCAAGACCGTCACCTTGCCGCCTCCCTCCTGAGCAAGAGCTCAGCTGCTTGCCACCCACCTTGTGCCCGAGGGAGTGCTTGGCCTGCCGCTTCAGGCTCTTGTTGAGTCGACGGAAATAGACAGTTCCCCAGTCAGAGGACTTGGAGGACGCAACCTCCTTGAGCAGCACCTGACGGATAGCTGAGGACTGCAGTAGCGGGGGGAGCCAAAGGAGGGAGAGGAGCAGAAGAAGCAGGGCAAGGGCAAGGGCAAGGGCAAGGGCAAGAGGACGAGCAGCAGCAGCAGCAGCAGCAGTCGTCGCACCCGTGAGTCCGGCAGACGATGGAGGAGGGGGAGGAGGGAGCGATCTTTCATAACAATGCAGGAGGATCCCATGACAGCAGCACCTTGACACTGAGAGCAACTTCAGGCACCCTCTCCACACCTGCTTCCTTCCTCCCCATCCTTCCTCTCCATCCTCCCGCTCCTGCCTCTATCCTACTCCTTCCCTGTTCCTACCTCATCCCTGTTTTTGCAGTATCTCGAGCATCGCATGTAGCAATCTCCCTTCCCGTTCAGCGGGCAACTTGTGTGCTCCACTGCATCCATAGACAGCCAGACGTCTAGCAGCTCACGCAGCAAACATTCAGACCTCTGTTCGACCTGACAGCAAGTGAGTAGCAACAGAGAGCAGAGCAGAGCAGAGGGAGGAGAGCAGAGCAGAGCAGAGCAGAGCACAAGTGAGGAGAGTGAGGAAAGGGGAGGGGAGGGGAAGAAGAGAGCAAGGAGATAGGTGATGAGGTGTAGATAATCGAAAGTTCAGCGCAAGGAAACTGCTCTCCACCCTCCCCGCACTCAATCTCAACTCACATGAAGTCTGATGTTGTCTACAAGTGAGCTCGACTCCCCAAGTCTCTGCAGCTCCCAAGACTTGTTGAGAACCTCCTCCCGGCGCAACTCTTGTATCAAAGGCGAGGAGGAGGAGGAGGAGGAGGAGGAGGAGGAGGAGCGATCCCTCCTGGCATCTAGCTCATGACCCTCCTGGTAGACCCCGAGGAGAGAGGCATCGAGCGTGAGGTCTTGCATCTGGTTCAGCCACACGCCTGACTCTTGCTCGTCGATCTCTCTCAGCTCTTGATCGATATCCTCCACTTGCTTCACTCGCCTACCCACCGACGCCAGCCACATCTCCCAGAAGGCGTCCTGAACCTGCAGGAGCTTGAGCGACTCCCTCCCTCCC